TTATTGCAATGTTTTATTTTGTAAAAGAATAAAAAAATTTTGTCAAAATTATATCACATGTATTAACTGTATTATTTTCTTTAAACATACTTAAAACAGGTTAATTGAGATCACGATAACTAACCTTAATTTGTGTTTGAAACATATGCTGTAATTGTTTGACATTTTTTGACGAGTGGCTTATCTATCGAGTACAAGTAATGAGGTACTTATAAAATATTTTTCACGAAAATGCGAAATGAAAAGTAGATAGGTAACAAGTCCATATTTTTAGTAACGTAAAAGAAAACGAACTTCATCTATTTCGCTCTGTATTCGTTTTATAATTGATTTTCAAGAGAATTCTCTAAGTATCTCCGGAGCCCAAGATCGAACACCAATGAAATTAATATGTGAAGCACCACCTTTCAAATAAAAAAATCAGTTTACAGTCGAAAGTTCTGAGATAACAAACATTTAAAAAAATACAGTCGTCGAATTGAGAACCTCCTCCTTTATTGAAGTCTGCTGACAAGTAAGTGATTCGAAATAAAAAGTGAAAATTGAGGCACGATGAATAACTCCCTAAATAAGAAATCTTATTTTCTTTGTTATTATTAAGTTCCAAATGAATTTCAATAGGTAAAATGGAAGATCTTCGTGAAATTCGATTTTTGATTTGTTTCTCATACCATGGATCATTTTTAGTAGTAAAAAAAATCAGGAAGTAGATTTTAAAATGCAACAATGGGTTGACGATGTTAGCCTGCGATTCTCTTATAAATAATAAGGAATTTTTGTGTGTTTATCTTCCGTCTTGGATTGTGGAAACTTTATTGAGTTGTTGTCTTTAGTGTGTTGAGAGTCAGAGAGAGAAGACTCCACGAATGTTCCTGGCATAAAAAAGACTTTTTTTTTTTGGATAGTAAAGTAAAAAAAGTAAAGTAACAGCCTATACATTCCCCACTGCTGGGCAAAGGCCTCCTCTGTACAGAGGGTATCAGGGCATAGTCCACCACGCGGCCCCACTGCGGATTGGCGGACTTTTTTTTGGATGATCAACCTTTTTACAAATTTCGGAAAAAGTACAGGATGTTGCAAAGCACGTGCGATGGGTAATAAATATAATGAGAACCACACTGTTTAAATGATAGTCGACACTTTTACTCCGAGTCTGTGAGTAGGGTCTAAATATTAAATTTGTAATATTACACATTAAAGTGAGTCATTGATAAGAGCAGAAGATCTCAGATATTTCACTTCAATGGAAAAATAAAACCCGACCAGGACATCAAAGCAACTATAGTATTTTAATTTAATGTGCTATTTTATCGGACACTTCTAAAAATTTTGGAAAACATAATAACAATTTAACTGATAAAGGTGACACTGTTGTGTAATGAAGCAAGTTAAAATATAAATATGTATCGTATAATTGTAATGTTAACAAACTTTTAAACTCCACTATTCTGGAAACAAATAATATTTTATTGATGTTATTGTGTAATTGTATATCCTGTGAGTTTTTTATGTTTAGCATGGAGTTTAAAATAGTATGAGTGAAACAACGTCTTTGCTGTCAATATATGTTTTAACTAACTCTGGACTTATAATGTACCAATTAGTGAAAAGATAGCAACGCTAGCAATTATGTGACCGTCCAGGAACAGCGCCGTAATGTAAGTGACCGCTGCTCCATGCATCAGGTGCTTTATTATATGTGCAATTGTTATAGTCAAACACATTGTCATAGACATGTTATTTAAAGAGACATCTAAAGAGAAATTACCTAAAACACTACAAATCGCCAAGTGTGGAGTTTAAAATTTAACAAAACATGTAATACATAAAACTACAGTTTAGGAAAGTATTTTTTTTTTCTAAATATTTAGCTAAACGGGTTTGTATGTCATAGCACCTTGTTTTATGTTTGCTAGTTTGACAGCAATTTTCCCCTCACAAGATGCCACAATACAAATATTATGATGTATGTACGTACATACTTCGTTCTTTTAATCGTCAATAAAATAATTGAAGAACTCTTACATTCTGTTTTTGAAAGCTATTCCGGTGGACAAAAATATGGTTGAACAAACACTTACAACAAAAAAGTTTTCTTTGCTTGGGTATGTTACTGACATATGTTGATCATACTTGCTAACGTGAAGAGTAATAAAGATTGAGTTTCTGTTTTCGTGGCTCTACCATATCGGCGCTATAAATACTACTACACTATAAATACTGGGATCACTTAGCCTCGCTGAGCAATTTCTCTCTGCAAAGTTGTTCCGGTTATAATAAAAAATGATTTAAAAGCTAAGCTCAAAATTTATGCCCTATATAAAAAAAAAACTATAATGATTTGTCAGGAAAGACGCGTATATTTATATATGAACCTAAATACAAAAACCGAATCTGGATACACAATATGATCCAAATCATATGAGCTGTTTTCAAGATACACAAAATTTATCGAGTATTGCTCGCTTGAACTTATAAAAGTCCCACTGGAGGCAAAAGCCTCCTCAGTACAGAAGGTATTAGGGGAAAGTCTACCACGTGCTCCCACTGGAGATCTTCACATTTATATTCGAAATTTTTTTGTTATTATTTCGAAAATATGCAGATTTCCTTACAATGTATTCCTTCACCGCTGAGCACGTGATAATTCATCACTTAAAATTAACAATTTCATTGATGCTGGCACCGGGATTTAAACTAATTTGATCTGTTATATTGAATCAATAATGTAAGACAAACTCGTATGTTTAGGAAAATCTGATCTCCTATGACCAGAGCAGTGAGAGTACCCTTTGGATAATACGTGTACATAGATTGATTTAATACACGTAGAGATATTTAGAATCGTTATGTCTATTAAACTTGTGGTTGATTGTATATTTTGAATTAGGTGTGTGGTTGTGCAAATGCTTATGTTAATAGGTAATGTTCATTATAAGCTGACGATCATGATAATTTTGTGCCTTCGTCGAATCAGTTGCAAACGATAGTCGCTTTGTGCCGAACAAAAGAGGTCATTTCTTTGTTTTGGTATGCTAAATTTTTCCTTAAAAAACCAGGTAGCAAAATGTGAGTGTTAAATAAATAGCTTTACTAAACTAAATAGCTTAACGAATACTGCAAGGAAAATTATGTTTTAACCACAAATGAGAACAGGCCATAATTATTTTTTTTTAAAATATTGTTTGCTTTAGGATATCATTATCCTGTGTTGTAAGGACGTTTTACAAACATAAATCACGCGGACAAACCGACAAATCCTTTGGTTATAAGAATAGATATCATTTTGTTAAACTTATTAATAAAGAAGTGTTTCACAATAGACATGACATTTTTTCCCCGGTATCAAATCAGTGAGGGGAACTTGCGACACGGAATTTCGGCACAGTACGCATAGTTTCGACGAACTATTAAAGTGGCTTAAATACATGAAATAACATGGCTACTTTCCAATTCTAAACGCAATCGGCAATCCAACTCCGTGACTTGCTTTAAGCAAGCAAGAAACTTTAATCTAAGTAAGAAGTTTGGTTTATAATAGTAAATAAAATTTAATATTACTTTAAGTGTATTAACTTAGAACGGTCCCTGGTAACTAATATACTTAAATTTTTATAAGGGATGATGAGTTGATGACTGTTTTTGAATGGTGCGATATTGTAACGTATTTTTTCGTAGTGCGGTATTTTTTCCTTTAATAAAATCAGCAAGATTTTTCGATATATTTTCAGATTGAAAAGCGTGCACTAAGCATTTAAAAATATAATTTCAGCAATTATTTTTTTAAACGCTTAATCTTTCATCTTAATAAATATCCCAAATTTAACACGTTGTTTAAGTTTTTTTGAAGTGAAGAAGGGATAACAGTGCTAAAAGTAGATTAAAATTGTTGTCGCATTTTTGTCTGTCTAGGTTTTAATAAAGAAAACTCGTAGCTGCAATTTGGTAAAAATATTTGCATCAGACCTCTTACTATGTCAGGGTTTTATGACCAGCACATATCCGAATATTATTAAGTAAGGGATTTAAAAAAAACCGACCAAGTGCGAGTCAGACTCGCGCACGAAGGGTTATGTACGAATGTCTATAATAAACTAATTGGTAAGTTTGTTGTATCGGAGCCCCCTAATTTTTTTTATTTTAATCAGTTTTTTAGTATTAAAACTTGTACAAAAAGTGCGAAAAGATTGTCGCCGCTGTGGGAATCGAACCCACGTCTTCGGCATTCGCGGCCTGACGCTTTAGCCACTAAGTTAAACGGCCGATTGCCACACCGACGAAAATCTTAACGTCTTTTATCTACAGTGTTTTTTTTTAGAATTTGAAGCAATGCTTGGCGCATCTATTGTTATATCCTTTCCAGCATACAAACTGTAATATATGTATTGTTCTTGTCGGTAGAAGATTATAATGTTTTCGGCATGTACCCTCGTCTAATGAATCAGTCAATAAATGGCGGTTGTACTATTCAACGCGTTTTAATATCTGCTCCCGAATCCCTCAAATAGTGAAGGACATTACAGTGGCGACGAGTTTATTTTTGTTAATAATTGATTAATTAAAAGTTAAATTCACGCGTCAAAATGTCTATATTCGGCAGTGTGTCCGTCTTCGATTGCAAAACAGACGAATGGATTGTACACGTAGCGCAGCTAAATAATTTCTTCGTGGCAAATGAAATTAATGAAATTACCGATCCACATGGAACGAAAAGACGAGCAATTTTATTGAATGGCATGTCTCAGGACTCCTATCGTCTGACACGCGATTTATTGCATCCAGATGCGCCTGAGTCAACGGATTAAAATAAATAAAATAAAATAAAATTATTAAAAAAATAATTTTCTACGCTTAATGGTCATTTCGATCCCAGGAAATGCGTATACGCAGAAAGGCAGAAATTTTATGCAGCTGCAAAGGAACCTCAAGAGTCAATAACTGAGTTTGTCGCTCGTCTTCGTGGTTTAGCGTCGGAATGTTATTTTGGGTCGTCACTAGAAATGTGCTTAACGGACCGTTTTGTACTGGGTATTGACTCAGCTTCGGTCCGTGAGAAGTTGTTTAGAGAAGACCCGAATCAGCTCAAACTGACCCGAGCTGTAGATCTAGCGCGCGCTGTGGAGAGTGCGCAGCGTATTGTATCTGCTGGTGAATCGGTACCGGTGACCAAAACGGAGTCATTACTTTATACGGAGTCCCGTCGGAGAGGCAGCTCGCGCACCGGTCGCAGCGCTGGTGGCAGCGCCGGTGGCAGCGCCGGTGGCGGTGGCAGCTCAAGATGTGGCGTTTGTGGCGCGAGGTCACACGACGCCGAAGCATGTGGTTACCGTCATTTGTCGTGTAATGTGTGTGGTGAAAAGGGGCATTTAAAAAGAATGTGTTTAAATAAAAATGTAGCTAACAGGCCTACGGCGACAAGGAGCGCGGTTTTTAGAAAAAATGGTAGTCCACGGAACAATTATATTTTTGAATGTATGGACAGTGACGATTGTAGTGAATTGCTACAGGTTAATGACACTAGATATAACTCTTCTACTGTTAATAATATTTTGTGTAAGGATGAAAACCCGCTGGCTCTGGAGGTGAGTGTGCGGGGTGTTGCACTCATTATGGAGGTCGATTCTGGAAGTGGGGTGTCGGCACTGCCCGGACACCTGTGGCGTATGTATTTTTCTCGGTACACGTCGCTCGGTAAGTCAAATAAAACTTTACGTACGTATAATGGATCAGTCTTGAGTCTGCTCGGAGTTTGTAAGTTACCAGTGACGTATAATAATGAAACACACGATATTCATTTTTATGTTGTAGATAATGGTCCCGTTCCCTTGCTAGGCAGGGACTTCATGTCAAAATTTAATTTTGCCCTGATTTCGCTAAATTATTGCTCGTTAGGAAAAGGAGAATCAATTTTAGACAAATATAAAAGTTTGTTTTCGGGTAACCTCGGCACGTTTAATAAATATAAAATAACATTACATTTAAAAGATGGTGTTACGCCAAAATTTTTTAAAGCTCGGTCTGTGCCATTTGCACTTAGAGATAAGGTTGGAGAAGAGTTGGACCGTTTAGTGCGCGTTGGAATACTCAAACCGGTTTCTTATTCGAAATACGCGTCACCGATCGTTGCTGTGCTTAAGAAAAATAATGACGTACGTATTTGCGGCGATTATTCAAAGACTATCAACAAAGCATTAATCGTAGACTCTTATCCGTTACCGAAAGTTAGTGAATTATGTGTATCCTTACACGGTTGCAAATATTTTAGTAAGCTCGATTTATCAAGTAGCTATAATCAGTTTCCACTGGATGAAGCGTCACAAGAGTATACGTGCATAAATACGCATAAGGGTTTGTTTGTTTACACGAGATTGGTCTTCGGTTTGGCGTGTTCGCCAGCTTTGTTCCAGCGTGCTATGGTGCAACTTCTGCAAGGTATAGAGGGTGTGGTGTGTTTTTTGACGATGTGTTAATCGCTGCTCCCACTCCCGAATTACATTGGAAACGCGTCGATTCTGTATTAAGCAGGTTTCGTGATGCTGGTCTAATGTTACAGCGATCCAAATGTTCTTTTTTTCAAAATAGAATAGAGTACTTAGGCTTTGTTATTGACCACTCTGGTATTCATACAAATCCCGATAAGGTGGAAGCTATTTCAAAAGTAAATATCCCAGAGAACGTTAAGCAGTTAAAATCGTTTTTAGGATTAGTTAACTTTTATCGTAATTTTATACCGCAAGCGGCGGTTATTCTTGAGCCACTACATAAATTATTAAGGAAAGATGTGCCTTGGACTTGGGGTGCGGAACATCAAAAATCATTCGATGCAATCAAGAGCGAGTTGAGCTCGAGTCGCGTGTTGGCACACTTTGACCCGAGCCAGCAACTGGTGCTAACGGTGGACGCGGCGCCCGGCGCGGGCTGGGCGCGGTGCTCGCCGTGCGCTACAGCACGGGTGCTGAGCGACCCATCAGCTACGCTTCTCGTGCACTCAGTAAAAGTGAGCGAGCTTATAGTCAAATTATGAAGGAAGCGACTGCTATTATTTATGGTATCAAAAAGTTTCATCAATATCTGTATGGTCGACAGCAACCATTCATATTGAGGACAGACCATAAACCCCTCTTATCTATTTTTTCACCTGATAAGGGGGTTCCTCAGATGACGGAAGCCCGGCTGCAACGTTATGCTTTGTTCCTTTCGGCTTATAATTATAAGATAGAATTTATAAATAGTGAGGGAAATGTGGCAGACTATTTGAGTCGTTTTCCTATCGATTGTGATTCGTCTCGAGATACGGCAATCTCAGAATTTTCGATTCCGAGTTATGTGAACGCGCTAGCTGCGGCGGGCGCGCCACTGCCCGCGTCGTTAAATGACTTGCGCGATGCTTTCAAACAAGATAAAATCCTGTCACTTGTTGTGCACCATGTTACTCATTCGTGGCCCCGGAAGGTTCCACCGGAACTGCTGCCATATTATCGATGCCAACATGAATTATATATTGATAATAACATTTTAATGAGGGGTCATCGAATAGTGGTGCCATCAATTTTTAGGAAGGCGGTGTTGCAAGAACTGCATGCCGCACACTTGGGTATTATTAAATGAAGATGTTAGCTAGAGAACGCTGTTGGTACCCGGGTATCGATCACGACATAGAAGTATTGGTTTCTAATTGTGACCGATGTGTATCCTTCCGGGCTAACCCTACGAGAGCATGCCTTGAACCCTGGGAATGGCCCAGGTCGGTTTTTGAAAGAATACATTTGGATTATCTTGGCCCTTTTCGTGGAAAAATGTTTTTAGTGGTGATTGATGCTCACAGTAAGTGGATCGAATGCGAATTAATGTTAAATTTGTTAACGAAAGATCTTATCATTAAATTAAAGAAACTTTTTTCTCGTTTTGGTTTGCCCAATACTATTGTTACAGATAATGCTAAAACTTTCGTTTCGTCTGAATTTTCGAAGTACTGTACTGATAACGGCATAACTCACATTTTGTCTCCCGCGTATTCGCCACAAAGTAATGGACTCGCCGAGAACGCGGTTAAGATTTGTAAGCGTTTTATCATTAACGCCATCAAAGATAGCGGCTTAAAGGATTTTGTAAGTCAATTAGATAACTATCTGTTTCATTACCGGAATACACCGCACTGCACTACGGGTGTGTCTCCTGCGTCACTCATGTTCGGTCGTAGTTTACGCTGTAAACTAGATTTATTTGGTAATAAGTATAAAAGCATAAGTTCAAATTCCGAAACACAGTTGCACAACCGAGTACTATTGAATCAAAACCGACAAAAATATTGGTTTGGTGGCAAAATAAAATCGTTTACGTTACGAGACAGAGTTTGGGTGAGGGACTATCGATTTAACGCGAAAAGACCACGATGGATCCTAGGTCAGGTCGTTGCGCGAGTTGGTAAAGTAATGTATGATGTGGCTATACTAGGTACCGATATTGTTTGGAGGCGTCACGCGAATCAATTAATTTCAGCCAATTCTTATAAAGGTAATAATTGTACTGGAGCATGGACGTTTGAGGACGTGAGTACCGAGGATAATCCTTGTTTCTACTTCAGGCTCGGTAACACAGCTTACAGGCCGGTTACCCCCAGGAACTACGCCTAACACTCCAACTGTGAACCAGACCTTGCGCAGTAGTAGTGAAGCCTCCGAGTGGGCTGAGTCAGAAGACTCATTCGGTACGCCGTCAAATGCAACAGACTTAGGGCAACAACCCCGCACACCTATTCCTGACGAGCCAGGTATTCGCACTCGATCTGGTCGCTTGGTAGTACCACCTAAACGATTAATTTTGTAACTTTTTGTTTTTGTTATTTTTTTGTTTTGATTACTGTTATGTATTAGGATAATTAGTTTTTATTTTTTTTTTGTATTATTTGTCTATGTTGTGGAGGAAGAAGAAGTATTATTGAGAAAAATAATGTGACAAACAAATGTTGTGAATTCTCTAGTTTACAATATTTCTCGAAATTCAATGCTATGTGTATAATTATAACATTGTACGCTGGTACCTCGCATAGTCTATCCTGTATTGATATGTCTTGTTGTCAAATCTTCTACAAGTTGTATTTTTATATTATACTCATACCACCTGTGTTGTCAATTAAAGCGGGGAGGGATGTAATATATGTATTGTTCTTGTCGGTAGAAGATTATAATGTTTTCGGCATGTACCCTCGTCTAATGAATCAGTCAATAAATGGCGGTTGTACTATTCAACGCGTTTTAATATCTGCTCCCGAATCCCTCAAATAGTGAAGGACATTACACAAACAATTTCGAATATCGTTTTACAACGATAACTGAACGATGGATGTCGCCATTGCTTTTAGAAATTTAACGTGCTAATCTCTGCACTACAATTTTTTAGTAGTTGTTGTTATAGGGACAACAGAAATACATCATCTGTGAAAATTTCAACCGTCTTATTATCACGGTTCATGAGATACAGCCTGGTGACAGACGGACAGACAGACAGACAACGGAGTCTTAGTAATAGGATCCCATTTTACCTTTTGGGTACAGAACCCTAAAAAGTAGAGGTAAGAAACAAAGGGTATGAAATTAAATATTTTGATAATATGCATATATTCCGTAGGTATAATTATTTAATTTCCTAAATTTGCAAGTCTTAACGGGTAAAATCTCTATCCTAGAAATTAAATGCATCCATGACTGATGAAGTTCTTAATAACGGGGATTGAAATATAAGTAAAGAATTTTTTAATAGATTATAGGAGTAAATACAATATAATAAATATAATAACATATATTAGATAATATGCAATGTTACGAGCTATTTCAAAAGTATTTCGTAAGAAAATCTTGATTGTGAGGTAAAAAAAGGTTGACAAGTGTGGACTGTATTAATCGCTTATGCATATAATCATTATATTTCAATTAAGGGTTAATTTAATTTGGAAAATATATGATTTATATACATATATATTTATATATATATATATATATTACAAAAATTTATTCACGTATTCCATTAATTCCTACAGTACAAAAGGCACACAGTTATATGCCAATTTCAAGGCGAAGGAAATAGAAGGAAATGTTTTGAGTGTGTTTATATGAGGAAATCTCCAATATTATAAAAGGGTCTCTACAGTAAAAGTTTTATTCCGTAATAACGTGTGAAGAAATGGTAAGGAAAAAATAATAGAATGAAGGAACAACTTCGTAAAGTAATTGAATTGCTAAGATAAAGATGTTGAACATAAAATCTAAATAATCTTCTTCTTATATATAAAAATGGATTGCTGTTCGTTAGTCTCGCTAAAACTCGAGAACGGCTGGACCGATTTGGCTAACTTTGGTTTTGAAATATTTGTGGCAGTCCAGGGAAGGTTTAAACGATGAGAAATTATGGAAAAATTGCATAAAAAATCGAAATAACAACAATTTTATCTTCCCATACAAACTGTACCTGTCAACCTGTCAACTATGTCTGTCAAACACTTCCAAATTCCCTAAAAATAATTTATATGGCAAAACAACGTTGGCCGATTCAGCTAGTGTTAGATATAAACCATATTACAATACAACCAAAGTTATTGAAAATCATAAACAATATACCTATTTAACTAAAACATAGATAGAGGTGACATATAGACAACCGTTTGGAATTTATTATAATTATGAAGAAACTATACACTTTTAATTATTATACGAGTAACATTCTACTAAAGTAATAAGTGGTTTATGGTTATATCGTTATTATTTACATGTATTTATAAGTATCAATATGTTTTTAAAATTTATTAAAAAGGGTAGTTAAACGTAAACATTTTAAATATATTTATATATTCGCAAAATTGTGAATAAAGTTTTTGTTTCTTATATTATCGGGAAGTGTCTCAAAAATCACTGCAAAAAGATGTCGCTTTTTGGTGTCGTTTTTCACTGTTACACTTCTAGGTCTAGCCCCTCAGCCCGCAAACAAATCAGAACTTGCGATGAGAAATTCCATTGCAATAGTGTTATTAGTCGTCGTTGCAATTTCGCGTTTCTGTGCGCGGTGATAGGTAGGATACGAAGAAAAACTCCAAGAAATCGTAAAACCTAAAAAAAATCATTTGATAGACGGTGCGTGTGCTTATGCGTTATCCACTGAGGAATGAAAAGTCATCAACGAGCCGGACCGAAACTCTGTTTGTCGTTGTCTGTGACAACCTTGTAATGGAATTTCTGGCTTCTGGTTTGTCGTGAGTACGCATTGTGTAGGTTTCGCCCTCTTTGTAGTTTAGGACTAACTAAGTTAGCACTGTGTGTAATAGTGTTGTCGGCTGGAGCACGCGGTGGCTCCGGAATACTTTGATCCTGATGGCAGTGGCCGCTACTCCGTTGGGAAAAGAGTGATTCGACAGGTAGTCGGGGACGTTGGACACAAGAATGTTTGTGCCAGACTTTGTTAAATATCTTGGCGATATCGAAGAGGACTGCACACTTGTGCACACGTTTGAGGCACGTCAGAACTTCCTGCATATGCTTCGTTAGGTGCAACATTTGATCTGATACCGGTCATTTTATTTAATTTTTTTTTTTAGTTCACAACAAAATCTTCAAAACGACGACGAAATACGAATATGTTGTGATCAAAAATTACAGCCCATTTAAAATACTGTTTCATTACAAAACTACTATTAACTACTTTATATATATATATATATCTGGAAGAGAACACGTTATAAAATTAAAAGAAATAGTTTTAATATCTACGTTTATATTTGTGCATGTTTGGAACAGAAGTAATTCGAAAACTTCGGGAAGACGAACATGCGATTGTGTATAAATGCGTCTATAGCATGGGATGGGGTCTAAGCAAGGGGTCGTGGATTCAATTCCCACCCGGGACATCTATTTGTGATCCACAGATTGTTGTTCCGCATCTGTGTGTTGGTCCACGTGAAATTTTACTTTTTAAAACGTTCTTAACAAACAACACAGAATAATGTAATCTTAAAGTAAAAATTAAAAAGAAGTAAATTGTTTTACTGGGGTTAATTGTTTAAATATTGTGCGCATCAAACGCGCTCCTTGTTCGCAAGGTGATTGATTCGATTTGTATTTAGTTTTGACAAAATACTTCCAAATGTTTTGCATACGAAACGATATATACCTATCATGACTATGCGTTATTTACTCGGATTGATATCAATCAAATATAAAAATGTTCGCCAACATAAAACTCGTTTATTGCAAAAATTCTTTATTCGCAGCAGCTACATGTAGTTATGTTATAACAGTGACGGAACGTTTCGAAATTTATTGTTTTTTTTAAAATAAGATTCATAAAAGTTATATAAGGATTCACTATTTAAAATATAAAAATGTGCTAAACAATATATATAGTGTGCAATTAAAAAAGTGAATTCAAATATATTAAAGGACAAATTTTGGTATTTTAGATATTTTAGTGTTTAGAAAATGTTCGCTACTCTATACATATAAACAAATACAACTCTGCTGGAAATAATTGAGACGCTCGCAAACTCTAAAGTGATGAAATAATTTAAAATAACGAAGTCATGAAATTTCTTTTTACCTCGCTCCATAATACTATCTCGATTATACCGACTGTTTTACACTTCTTACAGTTATTTATTTTTTATTAATTTATGGGTTTATAAATTAAATCGGTAGAGATACGGAACATATGATATGGAAAGAGATAGCAGTTAATAGAATTGCGATTCAATTACACCAATTCCTATTTATTTTCCCAATTTTCATTTGATTCACCCATTTCATTAACCTTTTAAAGACGTCTCAATAAAAGGTATATAATTATAAATACATAGTTGAAAAAACGTACATACCTAGTCCAGATTTCTAGTAGCGTAACGTAATTATGTAACAGTACTATAAAGTAAAGCAATTTTAAATGTTATGTTATTAATTTTTAATGTTATCAACTTCACTCGATTCCTTCTCAGTACATAATGGAACGTTGGCAGTCTCAAAAATAATGTAATGATATCAAAATTTATTGGTGTTCCCAATTTTTTTTCAAAATGGTAACGCATAAAATAAAGAGGTATATTCGGTTTTAATACGTTTCATTGATATGGAAAATGAGTGTATTCTACATAAACAAAGAAAATTAGGTATGATTGTTATTTACTTTACTTTTTTGCTAAGCAATTTTTAGTTCATTGAGTTGTTTTGTCTATTTGAAATGAAAATATATCCAATTTAATTTAGAGCACTTACACTTAAGACATGATTATAATTCCTTTTTCGATATCTCTTATTCATGTGACAGTACAACTAGATTCCTATTGTATTTATACATTAAAAAATCTGTTAAAATAAACATTCTGGGGTAATCTGCATTGAGGTAGTTATGTTATATATTATTTATGCTATGTTATATATTAGGTATTATTTCAGACACTCATATAATTATGGAAAGTTATACTATATTTGGCGCTTAATTAACCTACCACCAGGCATTTTAGCATTTTCGCGGGTCTTGTAGCATGAAATTTATATATTTTTTAGGACTGAAAGTGATAACTTTACTTCAATAACATAAAATGTCGTAAATTCATACACTCAAAATAAGTCAATGTTTGACAATAAAATGTTTCTGTACGTTGTATGATAGTGCTCATAATAAATGTAAACTTTAATGTCTAAATAATTCTAAATTTATCTTTAAATGAATTGAGTGAGATTAAGCTATCTTTCCTATGCGTTTTTAAAATATTTAAAAAAATCCTAAGCAATCTTTGTTCTTTTACTGAGGAAGCAAAGATGGATGTTTAGTTGCTCCAAGATTTT